GTAACGATAGTTTTAACATTTGTCAATAAACGTCAAAAAAAAANTTTTAAATGGAACACCCTATATATTATTGCATTTTCGGATTCTACGTGAAATTTTAAGGTCATTTTATTAAATATTCCCTATTTCTAGGAGTTATAGATTTCGAGATATTAATTTTTAAAGAAAAAATTTGACAGATGCACGGAGATGCTAGTAACTTTTTTCAGGAGCGTGATATCAAACTGGTTTTTAGTATTCGTAAAGAACTTAGACGACGCTAACTTATGGTATATCTTTAAATTGAAAAATATTATACCAAGAGTTTCATTTTCGCTGTTACATTTTGGTAAAGTAAAACAGCTATAACTTTCTTAGCTTAAATGGAACACCCTGTATTTTATTGCTCTGTCTTGTACACATTGAAATTTTCTTTCTAGCCATATAAGCATTGTTAGGGTTGCGATCACTACTTTTGGAGATATTTGCAAATTTCTACTATTTTGGCAGTTTTCATCATATCTGAAGTGTTATCAAAATTGCCTTGAACATAAACATGTCAAAAATAACAAAAGTGGCTTGACTTGTGTCAAATATTGTTGTGTGTTGTGTTACTAACCTAAACTGAAGTATAAACTCGTTATAAACATCTATAATTCTAATTATGTCGGCGCGTTTAAATTACACAAACGAAGATTATTTTAATTTAGTTATTATTTATAGACAATGTGACAAAGTTTTAATAAGAACTTGCGATACATTTGCTGCTCGATATCCGCAAAAGCGGAAGCCATCATCAAACACTGTGAGACAAATTATTGCAAATTTTAAAAACTTTAGTTCCGTCACAGCAAAAATTAAAAAAATTAGGACTGTTGTTAATATTAAAATATTAATGTAGGTATTTATTTTAGCAAGTGTTCAAAATTACGCCCTTGAACTTTGTGGCACTTTTCGCATCTCAAGTCTCAAGATCAAATTTTCATGACATGACCCTTCTAATTGAGTTCACATTTAATTTATTAAATGCATTTCGAACTCTTTCCATGCAATCATCTATGGTTGTTGGAGGAGTATTGTAAACTTCATTTTTAATGGTACCCCATATAAAGTAATCCAACACCGACAAATCCGGCGAACGAGGTGGCCATATGAAAGGTCCATTATTGGCTATCCAGTGATCATGAAAAACCTCTTGCCGTAAATCATTAACTAGGTGACTATTATGGGGAGGTGCGCCGTCGTGTTGATAAAATATGAGTCTGTGTTCGGCATGTGGTAAACTATCCATATACGTTTCTATAAAGTTGCGTAAGATGTTTAAATATCCTTCACCTATAATAAAAGTGAATTTATATTCTAAAATTAAAAACCTATTTGTAGCTTACCATTTAAATTTTCTTCATAGAAATGTACAGCCACCCTATCATTTCTTACTGCACAGTAAACATTAAATTGCCAAGTTTTTTGAAAATTGCTTATTCTGACAGCATGCGGATTAGTATCATTCCAATAGTGTGAGTTATGGCAATTACACGTGCCATTTTTTGTAAATTTTACCTCATCGCTCCAAATGATGTTATTTAAAAATAGTTCGTTCTCATAATATGAAGTCAAAATAAATTCACTAAACACGAGTCTTCGAGTTCTTTTAAGTGCTGGACTATGGAAATAGAGTATGGATGAAATTTGTGTTTTTTCAAAATTCTGTGGATAGAACTTCTTGACAATCCTGATTCTATGGGAGCTTGTCTTATAGATAATGTTGGATACGCAGCAAAGTATCCCAAAACTGCAATTTTTTCATCATTACCAACAGACTTTCTTCTTTCAAATTTTGCTTTGACCGAACCAAAGTTTTTAAAATTTCCAATAATTTGTTTCATAGTAATCGGTGATGGCTTCTGCTTTTGTGGATATCGAGCAGCAAATGTATCGCAAGTTCCTGTTAAAACTTTGTCACATTGTCCATAATTTAATAAACAAATTAAAATAATCTTCGTTTGAGTAATTTAAACGCGCCGGCATAATTAGAATTATAGATGTTTATAACGAGTTTATACTTTAGTTTAGGTTAGTAACACAACAATATTTGACACAAACCAAGCCACCTTTGTTATTTTTGACATGCTTATGTCCAAGGCAATTTTGATAACACTTCAGATATGATGAAAACTGCCAAAATAGTAGAAATTTGCAAATATCTCCAAAAGAAGTGATCGCAACCCTAACAATGCTTATATGGCTAGAAAGAGAATTTCAATGTGTACAAGACAGAGTAATAAAATACAGGGTGTTCCATTTAAGCTAAGAAAGTTATAGCTGTTTTACTTTGCCAAAATGTAACAGCGAAAATGAAACACTTGGTATAATATTTTTCAATTTAAAAATATACCATAAGTTACTGTCGTCTAAGTTCTTTACGAATACCAAAAATCAGCTTGACATCACGCTCCTGAAAAGAGTTACTAGCATCTCCACAGACCCTTGCATCTGTCAAATTTTTTCTTTAAAAATTAATATCTCCAAAATCTATAACTCCTAGGTATAGGGAATATTTAATAAAGTGACCTTAAAATTTCACGTAGAATCCGAAAATGCAATAATATATAGGGTGTTCCATTTAAAATAACGAAGTTGGTGCGAGTTCTGGTATAACCGGAAGTGCTGGAGAGTTCTAGATATTTTAGTTGTGTTCGCCCCATGGACATTGCCATGTTGCCAAATTTTCAAAATTTTCGGATGTGTACTTTCCTAGATATCGATCGACACAGTTCCCGGTGGGACACCCTGTATATAGACATGAAATTCTAATTTAGAGAATAAATCACAACAAATGTGCAGAATTTTGCCTTCATCTTTTGACAGCAATCAAATCTGTTAATAAAACAAACCAATTAATTCTGCAGGTCCTCTGCAGAAATTTTAGTTATAGCATTCCTAATTTGAATTTATCCTCAATTTTGCAGTGGATTTTGTTTTAAATTAAAAAAAAGTCCCCGTGATGTAACTAGAAAAACAGGCACCTGTTTTGCCTCAATAGACTCTTTTAGTGTGATGTCAATATTTAGGCAACCCGCAACAAATTGTCAGTTGAAATTGTACAGACTGAATCTGACCCTTGTGTACTATTTACATAGATACTATAAAAATGAATAACATCAAATGAATTTATTTTTACAAGGATTTAGAAGTATTTAAGAACAACCAACACATGTTTGATAAAATAGATACACTAATGTTTTTAAAACTTCCAAAAAATGATATAAAAGAATATTCCTAAATTTAAATAAAGTAAAAATTTAACATTAGCCGTGTTATTTCTAATGTGCATGCTCGGAAAGAATAGTCCCATACGCAGGTAAGATCTTGTTATGTATGTCATCACTGTCATCATTAACATATCTTATCTTCTTTTGTTTAATCTTGGCATTTTCTAGTTCTACTAAGTATTTTTAATGTTTTCTCTTGGTGTTGTGAAGTGTCAGTGTGTTTATCGAGTGTTTTTTTCTTCGAGTGATTTATTATAGACTTCCTCTTAACCAATACCAAACTTTTCTTGAATCATATCTTGTTGCGAGGCTACTTCGCTTACATGAAATTATCTTTAATGCGCATGCTCAGTAACATCGATATAATTTTAATTTATTAATTACTATAAAAGTCAATATTGTTCTATAAATTTAAATATATAAATTCTGTAATTCTTTTAGTTTCTTACTTGGGGTTTGAAACTTAAATATTTCTAATATTGCCAGAATATCGCGATATTTAAGGTCGTGACAAAGAACATTTTTTTGGCACTTATGTCCACAGTATATAAGGTCGAAAATCGATCTAGTAAAAATACTGGGAAATTCTTCATGATAATGTGCACTATGGGGTTGCCCATTATTTGGCGTATGTGACGTCACTACTAAAAAGGTCTATTTTGAAAAATTAGTCTAAACACAAGTATATCTGCTGCTACATCTCAAATAAACATCTAAGACTAACTAGAACACGAAATGGTACAGGATATTGTTGTTTAAAATTCTTTAATGCTCTCCCTGACTATGTAAGGATTTTAAATATAAATACTTTTAAAAAAAGAATTAAGAATTATTTATTGAGAAACGCTTTTTATGATTTTAATCAGTTTTTATCAAGTGACTTACACAATATTTAATTTGTTAGTTTTAGCTATTTGTTTGTTCTTATCATCTGTAGCTATCTACATGTATTGTTTTGTATGTTTGTAGTATTTTTAATGATATTGTTAGTCTGTAACTATTTTATATTGATTTTACCTATCTTTGTATATTTTTTATATAGTAAGTCATCTCAGCGTACTAAGTTATGTTCTTTTCCTTTTCTTTTGACATGTGTAAACACTCTGGTGCGTATTGACATGAATTGAAATAAATAAATAAATAAATAAATAAATAAATAAATAAATAAATAAATACATTTCTTTACTATCATTATCTGAATTGGTTTTAAATTATCTCACAATAAATAAGTAGTATATATACATGACTATTTATCAATTATAAAGAAATGAGAAGATAAAGTAGGTACCATAAAATTAAAATATAATCATATACAGAATGACATAAATAAGTTTGCACTTCTGACTCAGGCAAAGCTGCACGAGACTAAGAAAGGACGCTTTCAGCTAGAAGGAATAAGTCGTAGGTGTGGTGATTTCAGATAGCAGTTACCTGGAGCTTTCCCTTAGTGTGTGTGGCCAGTGCACATTTTTGTGCGGAGTTATATCGGAAGCAAACATATTTATGTTATTATGTAAGTCTGTAAGTATGTAAACAATGTAAATAAATATATAAAAAATATATAATTAAGGTAAGAAGCTATCTCCTTTCCTAACATAAAACGTTATAAGAAAATTTTGTATAAAAATAAAAATATATTAATTAAATAAACTGGAATATTCATCTATAATTAAGCAAGAAGTCAAAAAACATTTAAATGACTCTCCTCTCTTTCTCTTATAAACAAGTTAAAAAATGTTTAAACTTTACCTCCGTAACCTCCTGGCATACAAGAACCTAAACCAGTTTTGGAACCATCATCGCACCATCCACATGCTGGATCATCTCTACATTTAGCACATGTTTTGTAAAAACTACATTGAGAATTTTCATCACTTCCTCTAGTACGACATTTTGTTCCTATTGTTGTCCATTCTCTGCATTGACCATAAGGAAAACTTGAAGTATATGCATTTTTATCTACACACCGGCCTTCATTCTGGCACCAAATACATTCTTCTTGTGTACAATTTAAGCAGGAAATATATTCTGAACAAACACTTTGACACTGCATTGGTTCAATTGCCTCTGCTGAAATATTAGAATTTAGGGGATGAGGTACACATTTCGCATGTTCAAATCTCCAACGACAAAATGGTTGAGAAGTACATGCTTTGCAAGTATGTAACTGATTACAAATTGGTGTTGGATCTAAAGGGCAGTTTTCTAAAGTCAATATTGGATTTAAATCAGTTATATTCCCATTTAATTTTGGACACTTATTATTTAAAGTACAAGAACTACTGCACCAAACACATTCAGTAGTAGTTTGAACGCAACTTAAACAGTCTTCCATAGACTCACATTTCCTCTTCCTTTTTATCAAATTTTGTGTAGCTGCAGAACGATTTATTTTAGGGCAACAAATTATATGAGTTTCCTCCTTTTTTAGGACTAAGTCTTTTGGTATATGTGATATTGAGGTACAAGAATTAGTTTTTGAATCCCAAACACATTTGACACCTGATTTTGCACTTAAACAAGTAGTTTCATTATTAAAATTGCAGTCTCCAGGGGTATATTTCAATATATCAGATAACATTTGTCCATTAAAGCCTCCATAAATATATAGAGAGCCTTCAAATATAACAGCTGAATGTCCAAATCTAGCCAAGTCACTATTTAAACTTTTTGGCACAGTTGAAACAGTCCATGTGTCACAAAATACATCATATATCAATAATTCTGAACTGTAACACTTCGCCCCAAAGCTGTGTGATGTATCATTGTGAGTATTACCACCAAAAACTAGCATCAATCCTTCTGAAATAAATGTTGCCGTATGTAGATATCTTGGAGAAGGTGCTTCAGCTAATAAAGTCCAAATTCTTTCACTAGGTTCATATGAATACAAACTATTACTTAAAAACTGCGCCGATTCACTTTCTGAAATAATTCCCCCATAAACATAAATTTTTCCAGTCAAGAGATCCAAACTAGCAGTATGACCATAACCACCTTTAACAGGAAACCCTTTTGTATTAATTATATGCCATTCTCTTGTACCAAAATAGTATTCCTGAACAGTATTTAAATAACCCAAATAAGGAGAATGACCAAATATTACAACCATTCTGTCGGCCTTCTTGTTAATACTATTTACTACTACTGTGGCCGTATGACCAGCAGATTTCAAGGGACCACACATTAAATAACTACCATTACAAGAAGCAGCTTTAACTGTTACATTTTCCCAAATTTTAGCACTAATATCAAATGCCCAAAGTTCAGATGTGGGTCCCTGATTACCAACTACTCCACCATATAAAAATATTTTATCACCATATATTACTGTAGAGTGACCATATCTCATGGATGGACCTTCCACAGTATGAGGTGTTTCCCAAACATTACCTAAAATAAACAAGTTTACTATAAGTCAGAGTTTATTAGAGCCTCGTCGATATATAATGAGTATTTAATTTTCAATTTCATGCTGCAGTATATTATTTTTAAAGAAAAATGGTAAAGGCCTAGTAAACATAACAATTAGCAGAGAAACTGACTCAGCACCCATTTTTGTTGACCTTGAATTGGCTGTCATGTTCTCTATGGAGATAAACTACATTGCTGATAGGAGTGTCACAATCAGGCCGAGTATGTATCCCATTTTATCATAATAACAGTTATGTTATTTCAGGGTTGCTAACGTTACCTGTTAAGATATAACGTGCATGTTATTGAGGAATTAAGACCATTTTTAGCAAATACTCGTATTGCAATTTTGTTGTTTTTTGAAGACGCTTTTATGTCGACATTTTTAATAATAATTATGCAAAATTATTATAAACAAGAGTCATTATTAGACAAAAACACATATAACTGACAGATGTCTTTTAGGTTATGAAACATAAAACAAATGCAAACTCGTAAATAACGGGTAAGTACAACATAAAATAGTTTGTAACATGTTATCTTAAATTATAACNTAAATTAAGAGTGATTGCTGAAAAATGTTCAATATTTTAATAGATTCGAGTTTGTAAATATGGAAGTGATATAAATTATTTTTTAGGACTTTTAAATCCGATACATATTTATTTATTTTTTCAAATAATAAACTGTTCGATTAAAAAAAATAGCTTCTATTTAATATATTTTTTTTATTTCAATCAGATTTTTAATAAATTATCATTTGAATATACATAATTTAATTACCTAAAATAACTCTACTGTCCAGGCAAGCCCTTCGATTTCACTCGTATATTCTTCGGGTACTTACGTGTAATCTGCGGTTTGATGTTAGTTTTATTTCATAGATTAGGAAGGTAGAGATTTGTTATTCCTTGTACTTCACGACTTTGTTGTTTGTAAGTTCTAGGTTAGGGTTAGTATAGTGGTTTAGGTAAGTTTTTATTATTTAATAGTTTGGAATAAAGCAAAATGGTAAGCCGAAAATAGCGAATTGGTGAGTAGCAATGGTGATATTATTAATTTTTTATTAAATAAAAAATTTTGTATGTTAACTTTCGATGATAAATTATTTATTTCAAAATTAAAACCTACGCCTGACATGAAAAATTTAATAAATAAAAACAATTGCGGAAGTAACAGATCATTTAGTAAAAATTGGTACAATAAATATGAATGGTTAAAAGGTAATGAAACCAGAAACAAATTATATTGTTGGAATTGCTTACAGTTTAATGAAAAAAGTAAAACTCCATGGAATTATCTAGGATATTCAGATCTGAAACATATAAATGAATCTAAAAAAACACGAGCGATCGGAGGAGCATACATATTCAACATTAAAATTTAAATTATTAGGAAAACAAAACATTCAAACTTTTCTTGATTCTGCATTTCGTGAGAATATTTTAAACCATAATAAAGTCGTGGACGAAAATAGAGACATTGTAAAGCGCCTTATTGATTTGGTTATTTACTTATTTATTTATTTATTTATTTACTTATTTATTTATTTATTTATTTATTTATTTATTTATTTATTTACTTATTAGAATTTTAGTATAATTTATCGTTAGTAATTTCAGCTATAAAAGTGATAGAGAATTTTACTATTTGTTTAGAGAATTATATAATTTTTTATATGTCCTATGCCTTAATCCTTGCCTTATCCCCTATCCCGGCAAGAAATCACTGTGATGACATTCTCGTTTGTTCTTGCTGAACTATTAGGTATACTTTTGGAATAACTAATATAATTTTCAGGTATATTTATATTAACTATCTTCATAATTCTTAAGTTTTTTACACTTTCAAAATTAAATAGACTAACGTAGATTGCAATTATTATATGATATTAAGTTACATGAGAGAAAAATAAATTTTGCCCACCCATCTCAAAAAGTCACGAGCCGCCACTGCCTGATGTTCACCCCCAAAAACAGCATATCCGTAATATCTCGGGTTCTAATAAATATTTTGGAATGAAACAAAATGGAAATTACTTCTTTTAAAAAAATAAAATGTTTCACAAGTGATTTCGTGTTTGGGGGTTGCAACCCTTATTTTTATTTTAGGAACAGCAAGGGTAGTTTGCATCAGTTTAAACCCGTTTTAGACCAATAGAAAAAATTATTCGTATGATTAGAGAAAAAGTAAAAACTTTTTATTTTAAAATGTTAATACTAGTCAGCACCGAAATTTTTCGCACACTAGGGGATTGTTCACCCCTTAAAAAGAGAAATTAATTTTGTCAATTTGTTTACATAAATCATATTTTTAATTTTTTTTAACAAATATGAATTTTTTATATACCTATAAAAATTGTTTGAAAAATATAGTCTGAAATAAAAAATAAGGGTAGCAACCCCCAAACACGAAAAGATTTATAAGAAGTAATTTTGCATTTTGTTTCGTTCCAAAATATTGATGAGAACCCCAGATATTTAGAAAAATCTGTTTCGAGGGGCGAACTTTGAAGATGTATTTTACCCCTAAACATGTTTTTCCGCCAATAAAAAAAATATGTCTTTTAATTTTTTTTGTTTTGTGTGGTTTTTCCCCAAATTCATGCTCAATAAATTAACTTTAGTAGCAAACTGCTGTCATAAAGCATTAATAAGTTTTAATTCTGATGGTTTCGTTTTACCGGTACGTAGTCTGTTGTTATGAAACATGAAACAAATACCTTCAATGTACAGCGCAAACTCGTAAATAACGGATACGTACTACATAAAATAGCGGCCGTGTTCTGTTTCATTTCATTACAATTAAATAACATGTCTGTTTGACGGATACTTATAAGATATATGTTATTACGGCATGTTATTTACAAACGTTATTTCTAACATAACATTTTAACGTAAATGGGATACATACTCGGCCTGAATATACAAAACTTATTGAATTGATTCATAGAGGCCGTAATCATTAAATAAATCAGCTTAATATTGGATAGGTGACCAGAGAATTAAATATATTGTTTATTTTTTATTTAACAGTAAAACTTATAAAATTCTGTTTGAATTTCTAATGAACGATTTACTTGTTTTAATTGTGTATGACATCTAACGGTATAAGTATCAACCTATGAAAATATGGTGATTATAGACACATGTACTCAAAATTAACTTGGTTAATAATAATCATGATGATGGTGATAAGATCATAGTAATCTGACGATGGCAATACAACATTGTTGTATTGCCATATTACCATTGGGTAATTCGACAACGAAACAATTGAAATAACATGACATTTGTCTCAAATTATAGTTATGTCTGTGATAGTTTTTGTTGAAAATCGTTTAAATTATACTTATGAGGATTATTTTATTTTGTTTGTTATTTATGGAAAAAAGCAGCAGATTCTCTACATATTCTTGAAATTACTTTGTCACATTTTCCATAAATAACAAATAAATTAAAATAATCCTAAGTAGTATAATTTAAACGATCCTCAGGTATTTTTATTAAAATTTACCAATTATCTAACATAAAATTAATCTTTTACAAACTTGATTTTACATTTCCTATAACCAACAAAATTTGATAAAGATCTACAAGTATTTTAGTCAAAATTTATGATTACATTATTACATAATTGCCTTGCTAATTGTTTCACCTCAAAGGCTTATTATTATAGATTAGATAAATGTTAATTTAACCATAACCAAATGGCCAAAAAGGGTACTACTTTGTTTAAATCTGGGCAAAAGACAACCTAAATTCGTATAATTTATTTCACATTATAATTATAGTATTATAACACCTGGGGTGGTTATACAAGTGGGTTTAAAACTTTAGAGAGAAAATCCCACATAAGTTGCTAAATTTTAATGAGTTTTGGCATAATGAGTGGGGCAAGGTCGTCTCGTTACAGTATCTAATTTCCATTAGATCATGTATTTTTCAAAATATATGTAAATTTTTAATGTGCACTTTTAGGTAAGGGTAAGTATAATATTCAGATATTGACCAAATATGAAATGAAATTTTTTTGGCAATAGATTAGAGATAAACATCTGCGTGTATATAAATTTCAATTAAGGTTTAACAAAATGTTTGTACCTATAGTATCCAAACCAAAATTTCATTTGTGTACTTAACAGTTGAGATAATATATAAAGAAGTACTCACCATTAAAATCATAGACATACAGTAAAGCACTCCTACTATAACTTTCCCCACCAATTATATACATTGAATCTCTCCAAACAGCTGCACCATGAGATGCAGAACCCGGGGGTATAAATCCTTGAACTTTTATTGCTTCCCAGAAACCATTGCCAGCTATTTGACTGCAGTCATCACCTTTATATTTACCAAAACAAGAACAGCCTTTTTCAGGTTCACAAATCCCTCTGTTATGCGAAGCTCCACAATTATTGGGACAGTTTTCTAAATGACAAGCTAAACCACCCCATCCTCCATTGCAAGTACATATACCTTCAATACAAATTCCATTTCCAGAACAGTCTATGCCAGATATCTGAGACAAAATAATTTACTACTTAAATGAATGCAATATTTATAAAGAAATTGCAAAATACATATTAATAATTTGCTCAGTTAATGTAAATGTGCCATGTGTTACTACAGATTCCTGGATTTAAAATAATGCTATTAAGAAATCACATTAGCATACAGTAAGATTTTCTACTCTCTTATTTTAAAAATATGTACGGTTCTAACATAGTAATTATGTCCAATTAAAAATTAAAAACCAAAAATGGTGGAGGCGTCGCTCGATATGCACTGACATAAAATGACCAATATTTCCTAAACTGTTAATTTTACCGAGTTGAACCAAGAAGGTATTTTCATTGGCAAATTCTTCAGGGAACTTATTTTTGATACAGGCAGATTGCGATCGTCATCTATGCAAAAATTCTGGGTTGTTAACCATTGGGCATAGTCTCTGACATTCTAGGCATAATGAAGTTTCACTTACAACATCAAAAACAAGCTATACACATATGTTATCAGCCACCAAATTTGCATCATGCTCAAGTTAATGGTGTAGATAACTGTAAATAAAAATAACTTTTTAATTTTCACGTTTGAGAGCCCGTCACTTGTTAACGAAGGCTCGTACGAAAAAAATTTATATGAAGAACTGATATTATTTTGACCTCATCTATCTGTACTCCACTTTTTTGTATCAAGTGTTGAGACATCCTGTGTATGTAGGTTTATTCCGACTCCGACACTCAATGAAAATCTGGTGGCAGAGAGACATCCCCACTACACTAGTCGCAACATAAAGGTTACCAGCCAAAATCATATTTTGTTTAAATTGTGGAAATTTAACTATTTGTTTATATAGGACGTCCCCGTTAGACTCATCCGCTAATATTTTATTGCATTTAGCGCTATGTGATATGTAGAATTATTGTAGAACTGCACCGCTACAAATCAAAACAGTGGCAAAGTCCAGCCTCGTTTGATAGGGGAAACCAGAACTATTTACTGTTGTAGCCGCGAGGGAGGCTAGCCTCCTAGTGATGGGAGATCGGCGCAAACCAATAAATACCATCATGTATTAGCAAAGGGTGATTTGAACCTAAAAAAAAATGGCCAAGCAATGCAGCTGATCTTTAGTAGATTCCATTTCTGCAGTTTTTTATGTCACTTGACAAAGAAGCTACTCATAATATTAAAATTTTGGTGCAATGGTATTCAAGGACTGAGTGCTTTTTCTTTTCTATAAAAATTGTTGCATTTCTCATTACTAAAAGAGATAATTTATTGCAAGTTGCTAGGATATTTGATGCTCTGAGATTTTTAAGTTCTATAATTTTAATTAAATTAATTATATAAAAACTGTGCTAACTTGGGTTGAAAATTTACCTAATGTAATGTACCTAATAAATGGCTCAGGTTTAAAAATGACATCAATTTTAAATTTTAAAATAAATCATACTTGGATGTATCCAATGATTCAGAATTTTTTTAATTACATGAATTTCACAATGCATCACAACATGCGTACAGCGCTGTTCTATATATTTGTGCAATCTATCCTTCAGGTGCAATAAATATGGGATTTATTAATTCTAAGGCAAGGGTATCTTAACTTACAACTGTTTTTGTTGTGCATCTTGAACTGTACAATTCTATTGTCAAAACTGTTTCATATCTTAAACGCTTATAAAAACAAATTATTCTTTAGATCGATGTTTAAATGGTCTGATTCTAGTATCTTGGATAATGACAGCAATATATCACTGGAAAGTGTTTTGTGAGCTCCTGAGTAAGTTACATTCAACAAAGAATTAATCTCGAGTACTGGCAATATGTCCCTTCTAATTTCTTTCAGAATATTTAAATAATAAAATGAACAGAATTTACTACAGTGTGAAGAATATGTTTTCAGTGCAATTTCTAGACGAAGTGAAAAAGAATGCTTTTGTTGTTGCACTGTTTACTATTGATGACTTACTTGAATATTTTTCTTCATTTAAAAAAATTAACAAAATTCTTGCACACATTCTACATTCTACACCAGACATATTTGTTAATATAAGAATTAAATAATGCTTCAAATATTTTCTTTTAAATGTCCCGATATTGTTGAAGTGGGTTAAATGTCCCGATATTGTTGAAGTGGGTTAAATATCCCAATATTGTTGAAGTGGGTCCTGATACTGTTGAAATGGGTTAAATGTCACGATATGATTGAAGTGGGTTAAATGTCCCGATATTGTTCAAGTTCTGCATATTCATGCCTTGCTGAGTATCCTATCGGGTAGAATATCACTTATGGTTAACACATCTTCATTGGGACACTGGATCCTAGCTTGTTATATCGTTCATCACATTCTGCATTCTGCTCTTTAAGGAGGTTCGTTACACATCCGCCCACAGCGGGGCGGGCGCTGCGGGAGGGAAGCCTATGCATATACACGGTAGTTTCGTTGTAGTACCAACCTTACATAAACTAATTTGAGCAAATTAAATATAGTATATACAAATGAAATTTATACAACATATATTAGCTTGCATATATTTTTCGTGTTTAATGCACAGCAATTAACTTTTTATTTGAATAAAAGTGTCTATTTCTTTATTAAGAGCTATGAAATCTGGCAACATTGCCATTGCCATGGTGTGGTGGTAAAAGTTAGGTCAACTGTCATTACTGTCAACTGTGCTTTGCGCGTATTCCGTAAACATGAATGAACATCAAAGATATAAAGGAAAAGTAATGACTGAAAAGCAATATAAAATTTGTATGAAACAGAATCTGGATTGATGAGAAAAAAATAAAATGTGCAAACCGAAAATCCATATATGATAACTATCAAGAAGCTCAGTGTATGATAGTAAGATGTCACCTTCTACATCTATACTGTTCCTTTTGCAAAGAGATTATTTCAATTTTTGTTTCAAATTGCTATTATATTGCATTAGATCACGAAAAATTTATTTAATATTACACAGGCACACAAAAAAAATTTTCATGAACCAGAGGGTACACCCCACTTAGGTTTTTGGGGTCGCTGAAACCGAATATGACCATAAAAAATGATTTCAATTGCCCGTTTTCCCGCTAGCACCCCCTGAAGGGGGTTAAATTTAAAATTTCCGTACAAAATTAAGATGTATGCGTATTTCTATTTTTTTTTTGGGACGCTGAAACCAAAAATGACAACAAAAAATGAATTTAACCCCCCTCTGATCCTCTAGCACCCCCTTACCACCCCCTGAAGGGGGTTGAATTTTAAACTTTTGTACAAAATTAAGATGTTAATCATAACCGTGTTTATTTTGCCTTTTGATATTTTGAACTTGACACCTTATTCTAGACAAGATATTTTAATTTTTTTTTCCGTTGGCATTTTGTTTTCTCTTTGATTTTAATGTTTTTGCTCTTCACTGACCAGTCTTATTTGCGTTTAAAAGATGAATATAATTTTATGCCTCCGGAATAGAATTGATTCCGTATCTACTTCTGTGACTAAGACACCTCTGTGAAGGCGGGTAACAGTTTAACTGAGATTGTTTGAAAGCAAGAGAGTTCGGTATCATAGAAAGAGGTAAATGCCGAACCGTGAGAGGTAAAGGGACCCACATTAATCAAGCACCCGGAATCGTGAGAGGCGAGGGGACTCACTTTAATCAAGCACCCCGAACCGTGAGAGGCAAGGGGATTCACGTTAATCAAGTACCCCGAATCATGAGAGGCAAGGGGATTCACGTTAATCAAGTACCCCGAATCATGAGAAGCAAGGGGACTCACTTTAATCAAGCACCCCGACCAGTGAAAGGCAAGGGGACTCACGTTAATCAAGCACCCCAAACCGTAGGAGGCAAAGGGACTCATGAGGGCTCAAGCACCCCAAAGGGAACAGAAACCTACCATCTCCACGCCATTATTCCTGGATTGCGCTAAGAGTTGAACCAAATCATACATTTAAGAGCTGATATTTCTGATCGGTGAAGTATTGACGTTTATAACATAGGAGCTGGAGGTACTCTATAATCGAGCTATTTAAATATAGCGCGTCAGTCGAAGCATAAAATACAGCGTACAGTGTTGCCATATTTCCTTTCATTAAATCAGATGTTTGTTCAAATTTGTCAAAACGTTATCTATTCATTCCATTATCTCAATAATTACATTGTAAGTGCATATTTTTATTGTTTTAAAATGTTTAGTAATATTTAATTTTTTAATTACAATTTTAATTTCCCGATTCTAACCATTTTTAAGAGCAATATTAATGTTTGATTAAAATTTTTTCCCAACTCGCATAAGAGCCTGTGTATAAGAGCATAATTTTTAGTATCATTTTTCAAAAAAACTATATTGGCAATTGATCTGATATTTTTACACGAGGCAGTTGGCATATTTATTAAGATTTCAATGATTTTGAAAACTTTCTTACCATTTTTTTTTTCGGTATCGAACCTCCTTAAAGATTTGACGCATTGTAGAGTAATTATAGTATTCTTGAATATTTCAAAAAACTTCTCCCATGTCTTTGTTCTCCTTATATCTCAGAAGTGGGATGCTCTCGCGCCCAAGTGAGAGTAAATGAGGAGTATATGCATGTGCGTGATGTCAATATTGACAAAGAAAATAATTTTATTTATTTTGTTTTGTTAGTAGGGTAGGGGGAATGCGATAGGAGTTGTAATGGAGCAGGACAATACCAGAACCAAAGGGCGTAGGCATTGCTCCATCTCTTCGGAGAGTAATCCATCAAGGTCAGCGACACCTATGAGGAAACATAAGGGCTACTGCCTGGTCTTCCAAGCGTCGCAGTCATAGCAACCACGGTTCCAATGATAGAAAAACTTCAATAGACAGATTAAGTAAAGCAATGATGCACTTCATAAATTCCCTACCAACAGCAACGACGAATGAATCAATGCGAGGTAATTATTATACCCGAGTTTTATCCTGAGGATAGTCGGCAGAATATTCAAGTGTGGCTGGTGAAAGTGGATTAATTGAGAGATTATATCACTGGAGTGAAACTA